AACCCTTATGGGGTTTTCCCTTTTAAAGTTACCAGCCTCCCCAAAAAGCGGGGTACCCTAATTATGTCGTTATGGTTAACGGTATTAAAGGTAGGCTTTCTCGTTGTGCAGCACTTGTCTTTCGACTCTTCGGCGGCCCTGCAATGCTTTTCGCTGTGGGCTTAGGGTTCGGGGATTTTGGCCCTTGGTCATGCACTTGCCTTCTCAGCCCATTTTTAAACCCTGCTTGTATGCCTAGGATACTCGTGGGTGTAGAAATGGCCCCCCCTTGTCGAACAACTAGGTGCTTAGTGTGTTGGCCAACAAGAATGAACGAAGTCTGGGGGTGCGCTAAATTAAACCTTGACTACCAAACCTTGACTACCTGTGGGATCCTCCCACAGGGGTCTGGTTTGGCCCTCGCCTGAACTTCGCCGCTGTTGCCGAGGCCTTCTCACACACCTCCGCGACTCACGTGTACAGGAGTGACCGCCTTTGCACGCACATGGGCCTCGGCCACAGGGGGCAAAAGCAGGCTCAGGGATTCCGTGTACTATAGGGGTCGGAACAATCACTAGTGGTGTTTTCTTATGGTCCCTTTATGAATATATTACAATCAAACCCGAAACCCTGCTCTAATCACTAAGGCCCCTACATTACGTGCTTGTGTTCGAATGACTCGCCCTGGAGGCCCTGAAGGCGTGCGTTTCACCGAAGGTGCCCCGCATGGGGCACGAAGATAGACTCTTAGGTGGAGGCTTCTCAGAACAGGTAACCCCTAAGCCGCGTGGGTTTAGGGTTTAGGGTTTAGGGTTTAGGGTTTAGGGTTTAGGGTTTAGGGTGTGAGTGACCGGACTCTGTGCAAAACCCACCGGACATCTAAATCTTTTAAATGGGAGCCTGAGAAGCTTTTCCAGACTCTCCCCGACTTCGTGGGCGGCCCGACTCAGTGTTTTCGGGTTTTATAGGGTTTTATAGGGAGGGTTGTATCGGGTTTTATAGGGTTTTGGGGTTGTATAGGGTTTTATAGGGTTTTCGGGTTTTTATAGGGCTTGGTAGGGCTTTATGATTTTAGGGTTTTAAGGGTCTTAGGGCTTTAGGGTTTCAGGGTGTTGCGGAGGCTCACAGGGTTTCAGGGGTTTAGGGGTTTAGGATTGTAGGGTCTCAGCAACCCCTGCTTGTTTCAAGGTCTTCGGGCTTGCTGGTGCCCAGAACAGCCCCAAAACTCTGAATCTTCGAGCGGTTGACAGCGTTCCTGCTCTGAGTTGAGAGGCGTCCCTGGGTAATCCTAAGCCCCAAGCCCCACACCCGGAATGTGCTTCTTGGTACCACGGCAGTCCCCCCTCATGTCCTCAAGCGCGACATCTTGCCGGATCTCACCAAGGGCTGGTCGGAGCATCGCCCAAAAAAAGGGGGACCTCCCCCCCTGTTCCGAACCCTGAAGATACTCTCCTCTTGAGCATCGGAGCCCTCCTAAGGAAAAAGGACCCGGATTTTTCGGAAACTCAACCCTAAACCCTAAACCCTAAACCTCAGGGTGGCAAAACAATTCAGGCTTGAGGGCTTCAAGGTCTCTGGGTCGTTGAGGCCACTGTGCCGGTAGCTTTGGCCCAAGGAAGTCCCAAAGACCTTCGTTTCGTGACTGTCAGCACACAAGGAAGTACAAGGGTTTAGGATTTAGGGTTCACGGAGTCATGTACAGATGGCTGTGTGTAGATCTGAAGTCATATCGTACACCCAGCTCCTGCCCAAACCTCCCCCTTCTTCCAGCACATCGCCCTCTAATTTAATTAATTGCCCATGCTTTTGGGCATCACTCCCTGTAGTTCCAAGCCCGGAAGCCCCCACAGCCAACTTTTCAAAACCTCGTCGCCGCCGTGATGGCGGCAGTTGCTGGCCCGCGACGGCGTTGCGCTGGCACAGGCGGAGTGTATGTTGTATGTTGTTAATGTTTTGGCCATAGCAATGACATGTGCTACTAACACGCCCAAAACCCTCAAGCACTAAGTGGCGGAGTTTGCCCCCCCCCCCCCTCCCAGTTGTGCCTGCCCTATGATTGTTCCTGCGCTTTGTTTTGAAGGGCTTGTAGCCCTGGTTGACGTAAGTAAGCACAAAAAGGTACCCCTTTCTTCGTAGGTCGCTACGCCGACAACCCGAACCCTCAACCCGAAACCCGATGTCATCCCCATGACCCAAACCCTAAACCCTAAGCCCTAACCCTAAACCCTAAACCCTAAACCCTAAACCCTAAACCCTAAACCCTAAACCCTAAACCCTAAACCCTAAACCCTAAACCCTAAACCCTAAACCCTAAACCCTAAACCCCAAGCCAACGTCCCTCTGGAGGAATCCTCCTCGCCTTGACCGTCGCCACATCGCCGAGCCGGCTGGCAGCGAATGCGTTTAGGGTATTAGGATTTAGGGTTTAGGGTTTGGGGTTTGGGGTTCAGCGTTTCCCTGATGCAAAAGGGTTCAGAGACCCTAAACCCCTATGTTTAAGAACAACAGCAGTTTGGTGAGCTTCAGGTCTTACGGTCTTGCGTCTCGTAAAATTCCACAGGTCTCCGGGGGCAGGGGAAGGGGGGGCTTGGGATTTCTGTCACAGGTTGGAGTTTCCTTACATGTTCTTTTGCTTTTTCAGTAGGTTATTGGGTTGCAAGGCTGCAGGGTTTATAGGTCGTTGGTTGCAGGCTTCACCACATCATTCTAGATGCATTTGTCTTCTCACGCCTTTTTCACCCCTCAGTTCCTGAACAAGAACCCAGAAGACTTCGCATCAACGAAGGGCCCAATCTGGGCTTTCGTCTCAGATCCAAGCACTCCGGCGGATTCCTTCTAGCGCAGCCCCAAATCCCCCAAACCCCTAAAGTCCTAAACTCCTAAACCATAAACCATAACCCCAAAACTCCTAAACCTTAAGCCCTAAACCCTACCCCTCCAAACTGCCCTACACCCCTTCATCCCCCCTAGGCCTTCTTTAAAACCCAGACCCAAGGTCTGAGAGTCTGCAATGTGCAGCCTGGCGTGCTGGCGCCACCGAAGAGGCCTGGGCTTTGTATGGGATATCCCTTTCTTTTCCCTGGCTTGTCGTTTTCGGGGGGGCGGGGGGGGGGGGGAAGGTCTTCCAACTGGAAGCCTCCAAAAAAGCTCGATGCCTATGAGCTGAAGCATGACCATAAAGCTCGGGTTCTTCCTTTCTTCGGAAGGTCCAAGCACACACACATACATACATTGCCCAGATCTTCCAAAACCCCTGAAGCAGGGAATACACCCTGTCAGTTCATGTACAGTTGTTTGGGCCGGACGGATGAAGGAAGTGTGGGCAAGCGTCCTCTCTCCTGATGCTCCGGTCCGCCATTTCGTGCCCTTGCGTAGCAAGACCCTAGAGGATGGCACGGCAGAGAGAGAGAGAGACCCGAATTCATACTAATGATCCTTAGTATAAATTAGGGTATATCCCCTAATTAAACCCGAAACCCTAAACCCTAAATCAGGGTATGCTCGTTAATTAAGGTTTTTTTTTGGAAGATCTGGGTGGCAATGGAACTTGCCGGCCCATCGCCGAGGTGTTTTTTTTTTTTAAACCGAGGGGTTAGAATTGGCGGGGTGTCAGGTGTAAAAGCTGCACCAGGGGGTTTAGCGTTTAGGGTTTGGGGTCAGGGTTTCGTGTTTACGGGTTAGGGATTTCATTTTAAGAGCAAGCGGCTAGCACACCTTGGCAACAGAAAGGTTTCACCCTTTGCTGAAAAGAAATTGAGCTGCACCTGCACATCATATCTAGACACTTTGTCCTCACATACTTCTTCGTAAGCCAATTTTGAGGCTTCCAGAGAACGTGCTGCTGGATTCTGTTTCTGAAAGGCTAGAGGCGGGATTTCGGATTTGTGGGTCATGATTCGCATGTCCTCGTCCCAATTGTCGCGGAGCCTCTCGCAAGGCCCCCGACTTCGTACATGCTGTGGCTTGCGGACCACCGGCAGCTAGACCTTGAATGGTCCTGGCAGGGGAGTGCTTTAACATGCTTGTCCTTGGAGTCGCTCAATTACCGTTGAAGCGAAAGGTGTTCGTGGCCGTAGTAGCAGTAGCTGTAGACGTAGAGGCTAGATGTTTTGGTGGCACCGGATTCCATATAGTTGTGGTGAAAACTAGCAATGCAACAAGACAAACCAATGCTCTGCCTATGAAGGGATACTCACAAGAAGGGATCCCTGGCTTGTTCACAGGGGGTGTATGGCTGTATCTAAGGTGTCAGAGGAAGTATCTCTTCATGTGCAGATCGTCCTACTTTCTGTGGGCTGAAGGAGAACAGGTTTTGTAGATATTTCAGTATGACAACCTTGCAGCAGCATGCCTGATTTATTTCCAAAGCGCACCTGGGCTAAGGCAAAGCATCCGCGACAGCCTGCCACACAAGCTGCCCCCAACAGAGGTTATGAAGGACTGTTGGGGGCCCTAGGGGCTTGCAACAACACTACCCATTTCCATTTGTGTAAGTATTGGAACGGTTTTTCATTGGACGTGACCTGGACGCAAGATGCCGAGGCAAGCATCGTCTCCACCTCAACCGTGAACTTTTGCTGCTTCTGAGCTGGGAACTAGGAATTAAGCGGTACCTGATTTCCCCCTCATTACCCTTTAAGGGGTTCAAGGGGTTTCTATAGGACCCCTCATTCACCCAGTCCCTACTAAGAACCGGTAGGAAAACTAGTTCTGAACCGGAAGACAGCTTTTTTGAAAGGAAGGTGGGCGACGCTGGCAGAGCCTCAAGAACGACGAGAAGGAGAACTGCGCACCTTCTTCTTTCGCTCGGACATCGTAGGTTCATGTCTTTTCTCAGATGCGCATCGAAGGGTTCTCGCCTGAAGACTTGGGAGTTTGGGGAGGTTTACCCGGATGCATCCCGCGTAGCGTGCACAAGCGTTCGCAAGCGTTCATTGGTGACCGAATCGGTGACTGTCATCGCTTTGGGGGCGTGTTTCTGAAGTTGATACATCATTTGTTAGCATCGAAGGCCAACAGTGATGACAGTCACTTGGATGGCGCATGTCGATGCTGGAGTCGCCATCCTCGTAACTGTCGTCACTTTGTGCGGTCTTATGGTACAGTTTTCCAACTTCAAAAGCGCCGACACCCACCTACGTCGGTGTCTGTCCACACCGCCCTCATCGTCATTGCCGTCACATATTGAAGGCCCTTGTTGGCACTCCTGAAGCTTCGTTGACTACCATTTGCTGAAGAACCCCTCCGAAAAATCACACAACTTCCTTATACGGGTCATATAGGGATAATTATCTTTCACATTCGCTGGGTGCTCTTAAACAAATAGTAACCCTAAACCCTAAACCCTAGTCGAGGCTTCAGAAAGGGTTTAGAGTTTGGGTTTTCAGGTTTCCCAATATGGGTGGGAGATGTGATAGCTTGCTGCCATTACGAGGAAGCCCGAATTTGCACAATGTGGCCTCTTATTCTTGAGGAATCGTTACCGACCAGAACTTTCGATGCTTCCCGTTTAGGGTCTAGAGTTTAGGGTCCTTACGGGAAACCCTACAAAGATACTGACTCCAGGAGAAGTACGTGAGCGCTGCAAATTCGGCAAGAGCTGCCTACCAGCCCCTGGGCGTTTACGTTTAGGGGTTACAAGGGCGAAATGGGGATTATCATGTTTTACTTTTGGGGGGTTCTTAAGCATTCTGCAGGTACACTGCCGAGAAGAAAAACGGATTGAGGGTTTTGGGTTTAGGGTTGGTCACAGCTAGAGTCATGGGATTCTACTATGGACCCCTAAGGTTGTATGTACCCTTGGGTTTTGGGGCACTTTTTCAAGATCCTCTTAAAAGGTCACAAGGACCATACAAGGAGTATGTTAAGGGAAATTTCTTATAGAGATACATCCTCATAAGTCATGCTTGTGTGACTTCAGGGTGGCGCAAGAGCATCAAAACCGGTCGGCTTCTGCCCGACATGGAGCCTCACCAGCTCCGATCGTTTTGACGCCTTTAACTCCTTAAGTGCCCTAAACAAGCAGCCGGCCCTAGAAGCCCTTGATTGTCCAGAAGCCAGCCGTAGAAGCCCTTGTCCTTGCGCCCTACAGCCCAGGTAAACCCTTAACCGCCCTGCTGTTCTGAGGAAGGCCGTGCAAGACTTCGTGGCAGCTGGGGGTATCATGCCAGGACTGCACGGGAGCCGCATGAGGCTGTGAGGCCGCTGTCACTCCACGACCCCCACGGGTGCCACAACGCCCCAGCAATCGACCTTTGCTGTATATCGCCCTCCCTCCCTTTGTGTTTGCGGCAGGCTTTATATCGTGTCAGGCAGATCATCGGGCCTTTGCGTGGCAGGAGCCAAGCCGCCCAGAGATCCCAACATTCCAAAGAAGCCCCCGAATGCCTTCCAGCTTCCTGGCCGAGCAGCGTCCTGGGAATTTGCAGGGAAAGGTAGGCTCGGGAGGCCAATGCCCAAAACCTGAAAACCCCAAGCCCATTGCAGGGCTTCAGCAGAGGATCCCCCTTTTGCCTAGTCACTATTATAAAGGTGTCCCCCTTTGAAGGTTCACTCCCCCAACTTAGCCTGAAGGCGGGTGTCGCAGAAAGGTCCCACCCTGTATCCTTCCACAAGTGACGGCAGAAAGAAGCTGAGGACATGGTAGGCTGGCTTGAGGGAAAGCATGTAAGTAGTACAATGTCTTCCCTGTGTGGTGGAACCCGAGTAACTTGACGAGCTGCTTGACTAGAATGATTGCCAGGACTTGAGACCCCAAACCTCAAACCCTGAACCCCTAACCCTAAACCCGAACCAGGCTCTTCATGAGCGCGAAGCGCGTAGACATCGCGGAGTCTCTGGCTCCAGATGCCAAGTTCTTGATCGAGGCCCCGCATCCCCTAATCTACATCCTGCAACCCAACCGCCCCTAAGCACAGGCTCTATGGTTTAGGAAAAGGGTCAACGAAACGCGGCGTCACACCAATCAAAAGCCTCGAAGCGCTGCAAGCTACCGCTTCATCAACCTCGCATCTCCTAAAGCCTTGCGCACCGTCCTCGCCCTACCCAAGCAGGCCTGTACACATAAGCCCTGCAAAGCCTACAAGCTTAACACCTCTACACGTGCATGTCTAGATAGTTTTACACTGTTTTACACAATATCTCTCTCTATATATATATATATATATATGTCCCTACGAGACCTCCCCCTCCCCAACAAAGGCACACAGCCCCACAGGCCGGGCGGCTCTGGCGGGATCTGGGTGACGACGCCCGCGCTCCTTACCAGGCCGGTGCCCTAAACTCTACATAGACCCTTAACCTACTGGGATGAAGGGTTTAGGGGCTCTGGGTAGGGAATGGGGGAATTAGGTACCCGGTGCCCCTACACAGTCCCTGCAAGGGATTAGATAGGGGATGGAAGAGAAGCGAAGCCGTGAACCCTGCCTAGGAGGTTAAGCCGTCAACCCAAAGTCCCTAAAGAGGGCTTGCGAAGGGCTTTAGGGTTTTAGGGTTTTAGGGTTTTAGGGTTTTAGGATTTAGGGCTTTAGGGTTTTAGGGTTTTAGGGTTTTAGGGTTTTAGGGTTTTAGGGTTTTAGGGTTTTAGGGTTTTAGGGCTTTAGGGTTTTAGGGTTTTAGGGCTTTAGGGCTTTAGGGTTTTAGGGTTTTAGGGTTTTAGGGTTTTAGGGTTTTATGGTTTTAGGGCTTTAGGGTTTCAGGGTTTTAGGGTTTTAGGGCTTTAGGGTTTTAGGGCTTTAGGGTTTTAGGGTTTTAGGGTTTTAGGGTTTTAGGGGTTTAGGGTTTTAGGGCTTTAGGGTTTTAGGGTTTTAGGGTTTTAGGGTTTTAGGGTTTTAGGGTTTTAGGGTTTTAGGGTTTTAGGGTTGTAGGGTTCTAGGGTTTTAGGGTTTTAGGGTTTTAGGGTTTAGGGTTTGTAAGGCTTACTTTAGGGTAGTTACTTGGTCCCGAAATCATGGGCCCTTAAACAGGGCCCCCCCTCTAAACCCCTCATAAATCCAAAAAAGCCCACGGCCCGTTGCTTCGGAACCCTTTCAACAAGGTAAGGGACCATATTACGGGACCATGTAACTACCCTTAGAGCTTAAGTTCCTACAGCTCACAGGGCTTAGGACTTTTTTGGGCTTCGGGGTTTGAAGTTTCGGTTTGCGGGCGCAGGACTCAAGGTTTGTTGCCTAGGGTCACATGCCCCGGTTCACCCTCGTCGTTGAACCTGGTTTACCCTAAACTGACCCTTAAACCTTCCCAGGGTTTTGGGCTTAGGGGTCTGACCCTTAAACCCGCCCCCCCTTAAGGATCCATGTACCTCGTTATTAAACACTTGGGCCCTAAAGTCCCTATATATAGGAGGTACTTTGAGGCCCGAGTATTCCTTGCTTAGGTACATGCACCTCCCAGCTTCACACCCGCCAGGCCCAGGCCGATGAACTAAAAGCGGCGTACGCGAAGAAGCGGAATCCCAGCTTCAAAGGGGGTCGTGGGGGGTTTAGGGTGCAAAGCCCTGAACCCTAAAACCTTAAACCCCCAAAACCCTACACCCTAAACCCTAAACCCTAACCCGAATCTGAAAGGCCTTAAAAAAGTCAGGGGGGTTGAGGATGCTTGAGGGCTCGCAGTCTTGTTTCAGGCACGTTTTCGCCTTTTCAACAGGCCTGGGCTAAGCCCCAGGAGCTGGTTTCAATAAAAGGGTTTAGTGTTTAGGGTTTATGGGCTGGGTGGAAAAACTGTCTAGGGTTTAGGGGGTTCTGTGTGTTGCCCTTCGGCGATTCGGGCTTGTATGGGGCTTGTGGAGACTTGTGCGGGTTATGGGCTTACACTAACACGACCGGGGTTCGCAGGGCTTGCACAGGCCCTAGCAGTGGCAGCGTGTTCTTGTCTGAATGTAGCTCAGGATCCCAAATCACGCATTGTTATGGCAACCACCCTTTTTTGGTCCCTATGCGTGTTAGTTAGTACCCTCTCATATGCCCCTTATACTCGGAAGTTGTCGTCAACATGTATTTTGCACCCACATGTTCAGAAGCAACCATGTTTGCCACAGCTTCGCCAAACAAAAGTCTTTGCGAATCTTGTGCGCCCAGGAAAGCCTATCTTGACTCGGGTGGGGTGATCCCCGTCAGGCCCCTTGTTCCAGACAAGATCCTAAGCCCTAAACCCATGTTAAAGAAAGAAATCGGGGTGAGCTGCGTAGATCCAGGTTTGGGTGTAAGTCAAGACGTAACACTGCCACTCTGCACTCAACCCTGAGCCCTAAACTCAGCCAAAAGCCCTAAACGCAAGGCACTAAGTCCTGAACCCTAGACCCTCGACAGCGTCTGCAGTGGCAACAACCCTAGCCACAATCCTAACCCCAGGGCCCAACCCTCGGTCCTAAACTGAATACATCACTAGTAGTTGCTTAAGAATCCCCCGCAAAAAAAATCTTCCTGATAAGAGTAACATAGGGATTATTGCCTTTTCTTTTTTGGGGGTTCTTAAGCGAAGAGTAGATATAATCCCTTGCGTTACATCAACTGGGGCCCAGAGTAGGCCCTTATTCCTGTTTTTTCCCTTATACCCCCCCCCCCCCCAGTTAAACCAAGAAGGGTACTCCTTTTATTCCTAGGTACTCCGGGGCCTAGTTAAACCCTGAGCCCGACACCCAAACAGGAAACTAAACCCTAGACCCTGATCCCAGAATTATATCAAAGCCTACGTCCTACATATCGTAAAATCGTAAAGCGTGAAACCCTAAGGCTGACACCCCCAAACCCAAAACTTCAAATATGCATAAACCCTAAACCTTAAACCGCGCGACGAGCTCGAAACCTTAAACCGAAGTCCTATATGCATGACTTCCCAATCGCTCGCCTTTGAATTGGGAGCTAGCTTAGGTACTCCCCAAATCACATGGTCACAGCTTGGCCAATGACCTCTCAGAACTGTCGCGTGGGTACTTTCCGACTGGACAAATGGTCATTCGCGAAGTTCGCAGCCATCAATACGAGGAGCCAGAGGAGGGCTTAGGGTTAGGGCTCAGGGTTTAGGGTGACAAAACTTCCTCGTCCACTTCCCTTCTCTTCTCAAGAGGCACCTCCCTGGAAATTCCCATCTGTGAGCCTCCTTTTAGCATTCTGCAATACAAGTATAATCCTCACGAGCAATTATTCTTGTCTATTATTCATGTTTAATTATCAATGCTTATCTTTCATTGTCATTTAAGCTTTCTAATGGCTTTTCTTATTGCATAGCATGATTATGAAGTATCATGTCCTGTCTATTTATCGCTAAACGTGTCCTGCAAGACACCCCCCCCCCCCCCCCCGGAAGCCCTAAGCCCTGGCTGGTGCTTGTTTCCCAAATTCTATAGGGTTCTTAAGGAGGGAAGGTTCCGGTAGGTTCCTCGGAAAGCTTAGGGAGCCTTAGGGAGTAGTGGGTTTACATACCCCCCCCCCCCATGAACGCCTCTCCGTTAAGAACCCTAGAACCAAACGGAGCCCAGGAAGCCAAAGTTGCGGACCAGGGGCAAGAAGAAGATCCTCGGGCGCTTTATGCTTTTTGTTTTGAGACGGGTTCACGCGTTATCTCTAGATTCTTTGTATGTCACCTAACCCTTTAAATTTGAAAGGATTAAGACTCGCACCCTTAAATTTGTGCCCCGTAAGGTTTCCCTTAATGTACTCCTAAAATGGTCCTCTTTATAACTTTAGTGGTCTTTAGCAACGGTCTGATTTTGGGCGGTTAGCTTAAGAAGCACCGACAAAGACACACAATAACCATCCCGAAATTGCCATTGGAGCAAGGTTTGTGTTTTTTTTTTGTTTTTTGGGTGGGGTGGGGGGGGCCTTAAGCAAGTAATACATCACCCTATTGGAATAGGGTTTCGGGTTTAGGGGCTACAACACACGGAAGGATCCCGTGTAGGCTTCCCAGTCAACGATGCAAAATAGACCTTATCAGCCGTACAGCGAAATGAGAAAAACATATTCTTAGACGTGACCCTCTGATAGCCAGCATGGGCATAGACGGAAGATGCCAAGGGCCGGTCAAGTTGTCATCCCTATATAATCGTTGTGCTGCCATAATTTTAGTCTTTAGAGGGCCCCCCAAGCCTACCCAAGTCATGTAAAAACCTTGCCAGAAATGCTGGAGCTGTGAGTTTACGTACCAGCCCTTTGCCGCATCGAAGCTGCAACTGCTCCACGGTGCCAAGCCCCTCCCAGGACAAAAAGAGATCCGCAGGAGCCAAAGCGGCCACTGTCGGCTTACGTGCCACTAACCTGCCTTGTGGCTGTTGCGCTGTTGGGCTGGGTGACCCTAAACCCTAGACACCCTCGAAGTCTACAAAATTGCTTAACCCCCCAAAAAAAGAAAAATAAATAATCATTTCCTAAGGGTAATACAGGGATTATCATTTTTATTCTTGGGGGTTCTTAAGCAATAGTAGAAGTAGGTTCTCATGTTCGTGGGTTTCTAGGGCATGGGGATAAGTCTCTACCCTTTGTTGAATAGAAATCTCAAACCCTAAGCCCGAAACCACCGTTCTTGGGTGTTTCGGGAACCAAATATAGGCCCCGAAAGTGCTCTTGGTCTTTTTGTTCGGGAGAGCACGGCACGGGACTAAAAGGCAATACAATGGAATCGGATTCAGGGTTAAGGGTTCAGGGCTAAACCCTAAAAACCGTAAGTTCTAGATCATGGGCGCATGTGGGATTATTGGGCGTATCGTAGGCATATACGGACCTAAACCCTGAATCCTGCATTTTGCTGGTTCCCAAGCCTTCCAAAGAGCTTATAGAAGTCATATAGGCTTCAGGGATGAAGTTGTGCGCTTGAAAGACGCCTACCAGCCTACCATGTCCATCTTAGGCCCTAAACATTGGGATGTTCCCCCCCTTGTTACTAACAGTCCTCAATAGGATTATAATAATTAAGGGGGGGGGACTATAATCCCCAAATTAAGGGCTGTGAGCACAAGGGGGAGCATCCCAACCTAAACCACTACAGCCCCGGACCCTACTTGGAGCTTCATGGCACTTATTAACCAATTGTATCTGTACTTAAAACCCAACATCCCAACCTAAGCCACTATTCACCAACAAATACGACACGAAGCATCAGAGGCTCTGGGTACGTGAGAACCGCCCGACGATCGCCGCCTCGCTGCCGGCCGGTCATCGCCAATCCGAGGTGATGAAGGACCTCAGCGACTCTTATACAATGTGGGGGTTTAGGGTTCAGGGTTTAGGGTTTAGGGGGCTTACGAAACTGGGGGCCCCAACATAGACCGAAAAAGTAGTAGGATAATAAGGACCCCAAAAAAGGTACCCCAATTTCGGAAACTGCCATGTCCGAAGCCCTAAAGCCTTCGGGTTTAGGGTTGTAATGGTTGAGGGCCTCGGGAGCCCAGCACCCAATATCTTCCCCGGAGGAACTTGTCAGGGTTTCTGTGTCAGCCAAACCCGAAACCCCCAAACCCTCGCAAAAGAGGAAGCCTCGGGTTCTTCACTGGGTTGGCCTTTGGGATAGTTAAATCAAATGTTGTTCTTAATTGGATTTAGGGTTTAGGGCTTGTAAGGGACCTACTACATTCATGTTCTAGGGATTTGGGGCTCTTGAGGCAGCTGGCGATTGTGTAGGGGATAGGTGCCATGGTGTGTTTGTGTGCCGCAAGGAGCCTCTGTAGCGTTTAGGGTTCGCAGGTTTATTTGTTTTTTTGGAAGGGGGGGGAGGCTCTTGATATAGTAGGATGTTTAGCTTGAAAAAGCAGGCTTCGCAGGGTGTAGCTTCCAGGTTGGAGCTAGGGGGGTATGTAACCCAAGGTTCCAAAATACTCCCTACTACTCCCCAAACCTCCTAGCCCTATCAACCCCCCTCCCTTCAGAACCCCCTCATAAATTTCGGTTGGCGAACGGCACCTGTGGCAAAGCCTTCGGAGGAGGCTGGCCAGCGCTGGCGGGCCCTGGGCGAGAAGCAGAAGGCGCCGTACCAGCAGTGCCTTCGGCAGGCATTTGGATGCGAGGGTTTTGGGGTTTAGGGCGTTTCCGGTTTTAAGGTTTGGGGAGAGTGTGGCGATTGCATAAGTCCAGAAGGAAGAGAGAGAGAGAGAGAGAGGTAGAGAAAGAGAGAAAGGGTTTGCGTGTGTCTTGCGCGGTTGAGGGTCTCTAGGGTTCGGGTGAGGAGGCTTAGGGATGTGGGGGTTGGGCCTGGGCTTAGGGTCTCCTTGTGCGCTTTTGCCCTTGGTGGTTCTGCGTTCCCCAAATCCCAAACCCTCTGCCTGGAAACCCGAACCCGGAAACCCCAAACCCGTAATCTCCGGGCTTCGATGCTTGTGTAGCGCTTGGTGCTGGGGGAGGGTTTAGGGCTGCAGGGCTTCAGGGCTCCACGCCACACCAGGAAGGCGGCGGATCTCAAGGCGGAGTACCAGAAGGACGTGTTGGTGGGTTTGGAGTTTATACAGGGCATGGGCTGGCGTAGTCTCTAGGCGGCTTAGGATTTTGGGACCGGAGAGCTCTCGGGTTTACGCGTTAGCTGTAGTTTGTTTCTGTGTATGTCACCTAAACCTTGAAATCAAAAGCATCTCAACTTGGTACCCACCCTTTAGTCTTTTTCGGTTCTGGGTTCCCTTATCAAGCAACCAACCAAACATGGTGCCGTTTATTTTGATATGGTCACTGAGCTACGAAGTCAATGTATAAAGGGGCTCCGAGAACCGGTGTGTGTTAAGCTCCGGGGCGCTGGCTTTAGCATCACTACTCGGAGCTCGATTCAAGCACGCAGAGTTCTCTGGGTGGTGTAGAGTTTAGGGTTTAGGGTTTAGGGTTTAGGGTTTAGGGTTTAGGGTTTAGGGGTGCCTGGAGAAAATTGTTGCGAAGCTCTAAACCCCTAGGACAGATGAGGGACCATCAATGGAATTACACATCCTTCGGGTGTAGTGTTCTAGGGGTCCAGGGTGCTGCCCTTAAGATAAAGGCTAGGGTTTCGGGGTTTAGACCCTAAAAAGGACTTAGGGTCCCATACCCCAGTACGTCCTAAACGACCTACACAGGGCAAGAGAAAGGACTTGATGTGTCGCACTTTCAGAGCCTCCCCTGCGAAGTGGACCTCTCAGTCCAGCTGGGGCGGAGGGAGAGAAAAACATATCCTCACTCCCTTTTTTAGGGCTGGGGTTCCCTTATACCCCCCTTTTAAAACAAAAAGGGCACCGTTTTTGTTTCTAGGCTACTCCTGGGTCTAGACACGCTCAACCCAGGAGATGCGAAAGTACGAAGACTTCCTGCGCGGCAGCTGAAGGAACATTTGAAGTCGTGCCGCATCCCCAGACAATTGCGGTGGGACACTTGCTGGTTCTTGGTAGCGGGATTAGGGGGTTCCGGTCCCTATATAACCCTCCTACAGGGTTATATATATATATATATATATATTCAAAAAAACATGGGATTGCCGCTTCTTCCTTGGCGTATTTTGAACTAGCAAGATTGCACTTGCGGTCTGGGGTTCCGGCCGCCCACGAAAAGTGCTACTTGAAGGTTCATGGTACTTCCTAGCCAATTATCACTGTCCTTATAACTGTACTTATAATCAGATTAGGGCACTTAAGGGGCTTATAAGTGGGTCAAAAGTACAGCTTTATTTGGTTAATAAGTACCAAGCCCCAAACCCTAAACTCTAAACCCTAAACCCAAAAAATCCAGGAACCTCTAAGTATGGAATTAATGTTTGGAGAAGAGCGCTGTGGAAGCTCCGAAGAAGGTCGCTGGAGCTCTGCTCCTGGCAGCCTCTAGTTTAGGGTTTAGGGTTTAGGGTTTAGAGTTTAGGGTTTAGGGTTTAGGTGAACAAGGAAATTATGGTACTTCGGGGCCCCTGAACCCTTTTCTAGGCCCTAGAGTGGGCCCCTGTTCCTTGTTTTGCGGAGGTTTGAGTTATAAGCCCCTTCAAACCAATAAGGATACCCTTTCTTATGTATAGGTTACTTTCGGGTCTCGTATCAGCCATAGGTGAGTTGAGATCAGAGAATTCACGTACAGTAGGCAGATGGACCGAAACCCCCGGAAGCACGAAACCCTAAGCCCCAGAAGCCTTAAATGAAACAGACGCTCTAACAATCTTAAACCAACCCTGAAAGCCCTAAACCAACCCAAACCAACCCTAAGTGCCCAAAAAACCTTGCGGGTCCCAACCCAAGGACTCCAACACAATCAGTTAACTCTCATTTCTTGAGGGGTCTATACCTCTATCATTTACGTAGCTACTCTGGGCTGCATTGCATTTTGGCCCTAAACCCTAAACCCTAAACCCTCAACCTTCCTGTGCTCCTCTGAGTATCTCTGAGTATGTTTGTAGTACAGTCGACCTTCGAGGCGTCAGCCCTCCTCCAGACGTCCCGCTTGCGCCGGCGTCCGTGAGACAGTGCTGCATGTGGGGAGGGGTTGCTCTAAATGAGGGGCCCTTTTTTGGTGTCCTGAAGCACAATCATTGAGGCCGGGACCAATTTTGGTGCCCCGAACCCGAAACATCCTAAACCTAAACACCCCTAAACAGTCCAGGATGCCCAGTAGTGCCCTGATTCCTTTTCTTGGGGCCTTTGGCTCCCCTACAAACCACCTCCTTAAACAAAACTGAGCACTTTCAGGGTTTAGGGTTTAGGGTTTAGGGTTTAGGGTGTTCCTGGGCAACCGAGCAATCATGGAGACCCGGAAAGGGGCCCCCGATTTAGCTGGTTTCACCACGCCAATGAATCCAAAGGACTCCCAGGCTTGCAGAATCTCTATATCCCCCTTGGGAATTATTTTGTATTTTTGTTTATATAAAACCCGAGAGGATATTAAGAATATTATCGTTATTAAGGTTCTAAGGGGAGTATAGATCTTGCAAGAAAGGGCCGAGGCATCTGCACTATTGGTGCTTTAGGGTTTGTGGGCTCGCGGTTTAGGGTTTAGGGTTTAGAGGCGGGCGAAGTCTCTTGGAACAAGGGTGTAGGGTTCAGGGTTTAGGCATGATGAGCACTTTGCTGGCCTTTTCTGAGTGCTCGCGGCTGCCCTGGGGCTCCCTTGCTTGAGTTTCAGTTAGTTTCTTCAGAGGTGTCGGCACACATGCCCGCCTTGCTTTGAAAGCGGGGTGTGCGTGTGCGAGTGGCCTTTGACTTCTTGGATACAGACTTCGTCCCAGTTTCTCTATTTGAGAGTGTTGCTGAGACTTTCCGGCCAGGACATCATAGCCCGGATGCAAAAAGGGTTTAGGGTTCGTTTTTTGTTCAAGAAGGTTTGCGGGCTTAGGGTTTCAGAGCCCTTCCCAAAGCAAACGCCACATCCCGCCCAAAGCCTGCCCGTGCAGTTCCTCCAGGCACCGAAAAGGCCAAGTCACTCGAATCCCCCCACCAATCGTAAAAGACCCAAGAGCCCCAAAACCGACACCACAACAGGCTATGTATACAAGAATAAATGATAATAATAACGATAACAATAATCATAATGATGATAACAATATTAGTATTAAAAATACGTACAGGCATACATGAAGGTGGAAAAGTTCGAAAAGTAAGGTACCAAAAGATGTGGATTCACATACATGTTGTATCTGTATGCCCATTATATATATATATATATGGGTCACCGCCTATAGCGGTTCCCCTGTGTTTTTGCACATTCCCTTAAACCATCTAACCAAAAACCCCTCAAACCATTAAACCATTAAACCATTAAACCATTAAACCATTAAACCATTAAACCATTAAACCATTAAACCAATGGTTTCCCCCATATGAGAATCCCCTTACCATTAATTAAACCATTAAACCATTAAACCAATGGTCTCCCCCCCAAACCATTAAACCATTAAACCATTAAACCATTAAACCATTAAACCATACCATTAACCCATTAAACCAATGGTTTCCCGCTTCTGAAAATCCCCTAAACCATTAAACCATTAAACCATTAAACCAATGGTTTCCCCCTTATGAGAATCCCCTAAACCATTAAACCATTAAACCATTAAACCATTAAACCATTATTGTTTCCCCCATATGAGAATCCCCTAAACCATTAAACCATTTTCATGGCGGGCAACCAGTGGTTTAATGGTTTAATGGTTTAATGGTTTAATGGTTTAATGGTTTAATGGTTTAATGGTTTAATGGTTTAATGGTTTAATGGTTTAAGGGATTTTCATAAGGGGGAAACCATTGGTTTAATGGTTTAATGGTTTAATAGTTTAGGGGATTCTCATAAGGGGGAAACCATTGGTTTAATGGTTTAATGGTTTAATGGTTTATTGGTTAAATGGTTTAATGGTTCTCCTGCCGAGGTACCTCTACCGCATCTTTTCTGCTCCTAAAGTTCTGATTCGCAAGCAGTGTCCCCTGTATCCTTTCTGCTCCGAATATTCTGAATCGCAAGCAGTGTCTCCCGTATCTTTTCTGCTCATAAGTATACGTATACTATATGGGGTTGCGCCTTAAACCCTAACTCTTAAACCCTGACTCTATAGGGTTTTAAGGTTAGGGTTTAGGTTGAATTGCCGGCTTAGGTTTCAATGCTTCAATCTTTAACCCTAAACCTGTCAACCTTAACCCTCTAGGGTTGGGGTGCCTACATCATCATCGGATTTGACAAGCTCTGCGGAAATTTCTATATGACAAGGTTATAACTTATTGCTGTGGTTATAACTATCGGTTAGGGTTTGATTTTTATACACTTATGTAAACTCATTAGAATAAGGGGAACCCCATCACGCCCCAACAAGCGAAATATCCCAAATACTTTACCTTAGCTAAAATATCTCAAGCAACCATTCCCCGATACGCAACACCTGAATTCCATCATTTAACGATATAGTTTGTGTATATGTTGAATCCCAGCAAGTAGTGAAAGTGACGAGCTCTGCGGATATATGTACATGACAAGGTTATAACTTTTTGCTGCGGTTATAACTATGGTTCAGGATTTGATTGATATACATGTAAATTCACCTATAAGAAAAATGAGGGCAACCCCATCACGCCCCCAACAAGCAAAACAAAACCTCTATCCTAAAAGCTTTACCTTACCTAAGATCGCTCAAGCAACCATCCCCCGATAAGCAAAACTTGAATTATCCTCTTTGTTTATATGTTGAATCCCATGAAGTAGTTTTCAGGACATTCGCTCACAGTATTCTCGCGTCACCGGGGCGAAAGAGCCCTACAACCGTAGGCATAACCCCATGGGGTTTAAGGTTTGGGGACTTAAGCTCTAAGTGCTCTGGGGTTTTATGGTTCTATTGTATAGGTAATTAATGCCCAAACCTTAAACCTAAACCTTTAAACCCTATAGGGTTCAATGGTTCGACAACCTAAGGTCTGGGCATGTATACCTTCAGCACCCTTTAGGGTTAAAACCTTTGAACCTTTGGGAGCCCTGTAGGGTTTTACGGTTCTGACCCTAACCAAATCAGGGTTAAGGTCTGAATGCCCGAACTTTAAACCCTTAAGATTAAAACTCTTTGAGTTTTCGTTTTAAATGCCTAAGTCCTAAACCCCAACCCCTTAAACCTTAACTCTATAGGGTTTAAAGGTTCGAGTTTAGGTTGAATTGCCGGCTTAGGTTTAAATGCCTCAATCTTAAACCCTAAACCTGTCAACATTAACCCTCTAGGGTTGGGGCGCCTACATCATGATCGGATTTGACGAGCTCTGCGGATATATGTATATGACAAGGTTATAACTTTTTGCTGCGGTTATAGCTATGGTTCAGGGTTTGATTTATATACATGTAAATATCCTATAAGAATAGCTCAAGCAACCATCCCCCGATAAGCAAAACCTGAACTCTATCATGTAACGATATGGTTTGTTTATATTTTGAATCCCAGGAAGTAGTGAAAAGGACATTTGCTCACAGTATTCTCGCGTCATTGGGAATAAAGCCCTACAAACGTAGGCATAGCCCTATGAGATTTAAGGTTTAGGGATGTAAGCTCCAAGCCCTATAGGGCTTTAAGGTTCTATCGTACAGGTAATGCCTAAACCTTAAACCCTAAGCCTTTAAACCCTGTAGGGTTGAATGGTTCAAGAAAACCTAAGGTCTGGGCATGTATACCTTCAGCACCCTTTAGGGTCAAAACCTTTGTTCCTTGTAGAGCCCTATCGGGTTTTAGGGTTCTGACCCTAAACGGTTCAGGGTTAAGGTTTAACTGCCCGAACTTTCAACCCTTAAGGTTAAATCTCTATGGGTTTAGGTTTAAAGTTTAAAAAAAACCTAAATCTTAAACCCTAACCGCTTAGCCTTAACTCTATCGGGTTGAACGGTTAGG